CGAGCGATTTCAGGCAGCGGATCCCCCACACTCTCCAGCTGACCCCTTTTCACTTATCTAATGCAGGTAAGATGGCAGGGCCAGCAGAAGGGGGCAGCGGCGGTTGGCGACTCATCCGGATGACCACATACAGTCCTCTCACCGCAGCGCCGCCAGGCCGCCTGAACGACATCAGTGACGAACGGTCAGACGGACATCATCACGTTGCAGGGCACAGGCCTGAAGGACCGTGGTGCACCATCGAGAAGTTCGACGTTGCATCATCATTTCTTCCATGCAGGGTACGGCACAGGTGCGAACTCGTCTTGTGGCGTAGCCATTGGCGTGAGCACCAGAAGGTACCAGACGCAGTGCATAATTCGAGAGCAAGCAGCAGGAGGTAGATTACAAGGGCGAGGATTCTTGATAAGATATCGACGAGGGCGACCAGATATGCCAGCGCTTTCTCTTTACTACCCTACGCGAGGGAAAGGCAGAGGTGCGGCCGACACACAACGACAGGTTTCACATGAGTTGACGGAGTGGTTTCACACTCAGTTATGCAAGCTGCCCTCGCGGTGCATCCCCGTCATTGGCACGGACCTGAACTCCACGCGCGCGGCGGATCCGACAGATCGATCAGTCGCAGGGGCAGCTGAACAAGAAAAAGATGGCATGAAGTATGGTACCATCAAGCCTGCATTCAAGGCTCATGACCTTATTTTGCTGAACGCGTTTGTTTCACGCTGGGGTTACTTACTTTGGTATAGCTGCAGGTTGCCGAAAGCGTATTGACTTCCCCATCTTACCGAGAGCAACGCGCGATAATGTTCAAGGGTGTATGGTTGCATGGCGCAAAGGACAACGGCTTCAACACATCCGATGTGTATCGCCGAAAGACCACTTCCCGTTGCAGGTCGCATTCTACCACACGTTCATCAAGCAGCTAAGCATGGGACGAGGTTCGAAGCCGAACGCTGAGGCCTGCAACGCCATGTTACTCTACGGGTACAACCGAGAAACTTTCATCAGTGCAGTTGAAGACAAAATTACACAGCAGCGGAATCAAGTTGAAAAATGGGAGTATGAAGGCAACGTCGACCAGATCAACGCAGGACTGATGGAGTGCATAAGTGGCGTGGCCAATTCTATGCTCCAGACGTCGCCAGGTTACACTGAGACGAAAGAGCAGAACTTCTCATCCAGCAAGGAAATCGCCGAGCTCTTGACACAACGACACCAGGCGAAGGAACGAGAGGCCAAAGTGGACAATCTCAACTTTGATATCGCTCGTCTCAACAGGAGGCTCAAGCTCAAGAAGAAACAGATGCAGGACAAACTCTTGGGGAACAGAGTAGAAGCTTTGTGGGAAGCTTGGCGCGAGCGCAAGTTCTACGAGGCACACAGAATTTCAAGATTGGTAGCAGGCACGTGTCGTGGTCCGAGAGGCCGAATGTATGCAAGGGTCCCGACAATGAGAGCGTCAGCCCTGGAGTGGATCAGCCAGTTTCTCAAGCAAGGCATCAAGGGCGGCGCCAGCGCACGAGTTCTTCACCGTTGTCAGGCACCGCAGTTGGCCACGGGCTTTTGGAAAAGACCCTTCACCCCACAGGAGGCAGCTGACGAGAATCACGTACAATCGCATCTCGAATGGATAGATCCGAACGAAGATGACTCAGGGCCTTTGGACTACATGGAGACTCACAATGATGCGCTTCACGATGAAGAAAAACTTAGACGGGCACTCAAGAAGCTTCCGTCGTGGAGAGCGACAACTACATGCCCCTACCAGAAGAGCCACCAGAGCAAGCACGAGAGGAGCAGGCACCACAACGAGCAGAGGCAGCTGACAGGCCACATGCAGCAGCAGCAGAACTTGAGGCACCAATGCTTGAGAGATGTCTTATCTTCGATGTAGAACCTCACGTCAAGTGGGACGGGTACCAGCTGCATGGCATCAGGCACATTGCTGTAGACTGCCGAAGCACAACGATAAGGAGAATACAGCTGGTGAAATACCAATCATGATGTTTTGCGGACTTAGACGGTCCTTTTTTCGTTCACTCATGAATCCTAAAGCACGCTTTCCATACTGGGCTCATGGTGGGATATCACAACGACGCAGAGGGGATGCCATGTTAGTGCAGATGTGTGGATCAGCCAAACTACGAAGAGAAGGAATACACCACGTTACGAGGTTCCACGATGCCAGCAATGCATTCACTTGTATACACAAACCGCGAGCAGGAGAAGCAGCTGATGATTTAGCACAGGAACCGCGAGTGGAGCTCTTCTATAAAAGAATACATAACAGCACTTTTACGATTGATGACGGAGTTCACAGTGGACATATGACCAATCAGGGTGGTGCATTACCAGGCGACCACGCGGCAACGAAACTCTTCGTCGAGGCCTACGGCAGCGGCGTGCAGATGATGATTGACGAGTTGGACACGGACCCATGGCAACGGGCACTCCACACTCGGCTGCCTCTCCCACTGCGTGCTGAACATGACCGCTCGGTCACCGACCTAGCTACGTCTGTTTTTGTGGAGGATATCGCCCGCAAGCTTGTGGGCGCGACTGTGCAGCACTTGGCCGCAGCTGCGGTTTGGGAAAACAAAGTAGTTGATCATGTCATGCAGGAAGTTGGAGGTGCACAGAACGTTGATAAACATATTAATCTCATTCAAGGTGCAGGCAGAACGGCAGGTGCTCTGAACAGATCTTTCTATGAACGCAAGCAACACATGGATGGGCAGGTTGTAGCAGAAGCAAGGTATCTTAGAGGACGGCAACACTTTAACAATGGGTTCTCGGCGGAGAAGAAGTTTAGGATGCAGGCTATCAGGACAGCATGGCACAAGATGGGCAAGTTCTGGTCCACCCCCAAGATCTCCATGAGGTTCAAGGGCATCGTCATCAATGCGGCACTCTCGGGCCTCGAGGCGTTTGTTCTCAACATGCGTTCCCCCCTCATGGTTCAGTCCCTCGCCCCCTCGCAGCAGATAGTCTACAAGTTCGCGCGGGTCGTGCTCAGGGGGAAACACACTCACAAGCAGCTGGACAAGATCAGGGCCCCCTCCAACCTAGAGGTTCAGAGGCACTTGAAGTTTGGGACGCTCTTCACAGAGTTACGGATTCGGAGGCTTAAGTGGCTTCAGGAGATAGTGACCCACCAGAAAGCGCACCAACAATTGATCGCGGCCCTTGTAGGGCGAGCCCAATGCGAGAAAAAACACACGATCTAGATGATCTAGGTCGAGTTTTGCCCACAGCTAACGCGTGGCTCCGGCAGTTTTGGGAAGATGTCAAGGCCCTCGAGGGGACCTCGGAAGGCCCAGAGCTTTAAAATGTCCTCGAAGGCAGTTGTTTGAATTTGTTCACCGGGGAGGCCAGGGACAGTTTTCGCAGAATGGATGTGTCCGAGCTTAGGTCTCGAGAGCTGTCTCTCACAGTTTCTCCCCCCGAGCTCCAGGTTGTTGAGGAGATCCCACAGCCTCCCACACCAGAGGGCATGGAGGGCCATCCAGGGATTCTCTGCCCCGTTTGCGAGGCCAGTTTCATATATCGAAAGAGTATGGTTTCACACTGTAGCAGGGTTTGTGCGAAAGGTCGTGAGGACACAGAGGCGATACTGAGGCAGATATGTGCCACGGATCGCATCCCTCACATTGCCACTTTGTCGAATTATTGTATATTGTGCAACAGCAACTTTGCAGATCGAGCCACTGCTCTGTGGCACCTTGCGGCCTCAGTAGCCAACAGGAGGTGTATCCAGGACTTCAGCGTGAGAGCTCCTAAACGGCAAGGGCACAACATCACGATCTGCCCGTTGGTGCGCGTTTGAGGCTCAGAACTCGAAGGCTCTCGACACCCGTCTTGCAGCAAAGAGAAGAAGCTCCTGATGCAGCTGGAGGCGAGGATGCGCGAGAGGGATGCTTCGGACGTTCACTTCAAAGGTCCGTCGGGCCACCCTGTGCATTTGGCACCCAAGACGGCGACCAGCAAGTACGAGACCCTCGTACGCGAGGCAGGAGCAGGACACGAATGCGGATCACCTCATCTGCACGCGGCCGCTGCTCTTCTGTCAACGTTGGCAAGCACAACTACGGAAGGAAAAGACGAGGAGGTTCAATGCATCTACTTGGCGATCAGGCGCGTTGACAAAGCAAGAGAGGCACTCGCGCCGACGGACTTCGAGGATTGGTGCATCACGTGCAGGGCGAGCGAGCTTCAGGCCAAGCCAGGCACAGCCCCAACGTCTCGCTTGGCGTTCAACTTCGACGGGCACTGGCCCGTAGGGCTCAACCTGGCGCAGGAGCAGGAGCTAGCAGAGAAGAAGTTCCACCCGCTCGAGCTAAACACGGCGAACGGCTACACATGGGTCACGGTCAACCGCGTCCTGTCCCTCGCCCTGCGCGCCTCGGGCCTCGTGAAGCTGCCAGGCAAGGCTCCCGTGGGCGGTCTCGCGTACGCGATGGGGAACGCGTGAGAGGACCGACCCGTGAGAGAAGGATTGGGGGCAGCCAGCAAGAGTGAGCCAGCGTGAGCAGCAGGCCGAGAGCAGTCTGATTCAGGATGCTCCCTCTCCTCATCGCCCTCCCTCGCCTGGGTCCCTCCCCTCGCTCACTTACCTCCGCTCGCTCGGCGCTCGACCTTGGGAGGACCGGCCGGAGGCCTTGCATCGGAGAGCCAGGTTGAGAGAACCAACCCGCAATTCTAAATAGAATTGCCCCCGCGCCACGGGGTCACCGCTCGCGCTGCGCGCGCAACTGCAGCGGCTCCTGGCCTCGCGCTCCCTGTCAAGTCCCGAAGGCCCTGTGGGCACGACGGGTTCAGGCGGCCATCGCAAGATATACTGAATGGGATGCTTTTGCACTCACTGCGCACAGAACAGCTTGAGCCAAAGCGTCAGTCACGGCGCGGCTGTGCACATGCAAGCAAACAACAGACACAGATGCAGAGAGCACATATAGTCAGGACGAGAGGGAGCTATATGATTCCACAGCTCCCCCCACTTACTGTCGGCCTGACTCCTCGAGCCGCCGTTCGCGGTCCTGAAGATAGCGACGGCTGGCCTCGCGACTGCGCCGGCCCTTCTCTCCACCGGCAAGGAGGTGGGCCCTCTCCGATTCGGCATCACTCAATGTCAGAGTCCCACGGCGAATCATGTGGCCCATGGCATCGGACCCCTTGGACACATCAGCCTTGGTCATCACGTCAGTAGGATTGAGCAGATGAGGAAACCACTTCACGCACGAGCCTCGCTGGGTGAATGAGTCCCGAGCGATTGCGAAATCCACAGAAGTCCTGCGGTCCTCCTTCCGGCCAGCACAGTTCTTGGAGAGGCAGTCGAAGATAGACTTAGCGTCCGTAGCATGAACTCCAGGCAAGGGCCGGTGCAACTCACAGTTGTCACGTAGCACAGACACGTAGGGGCCGGCGTGCTGTCGCCAGTCGGCGGTCGGAACGTCCCCGAAGCAAGCGTCACGAAGCAGCAGCTGAATCCAGTCGGATTCTCCAAGGGACTGGCAGAGGGAGTTGGCCTCACTGGCCAAGGATGAGTTGGCGGCTCGACGCATCTTGGAGGATCTCCAAGAAGTATCGTCACCTTGCTGGTCAGTCCGGCGGCCAGCTGAGGGTCAGCCACTCCTACAGCCCAAGCACATTGTATGGGCGAGTCCGTGCCGATTCCCGCCGCGTCGCTCAAGGTGAAGCTCACCACCTGCGACAGGTCGTGGCGCCAGATGGTCAGGTACTGCGAGGCGGTGTCGCGCAGCATCTGGACGGCCCGGTTGAAAACTACGATGTCCTCCACTACCGCCTGCTCCAGCTTGCTGGCGAGTATGGAGGCCGTGCCCGCCACTTCAGGACGGGTCTCCTTCGCCACCCAGTTGATCCGGTAGATGCCGGATCGGAGCTGCTCGAACTCGGAGCGGCTCAGAGACTCGTGTCTCTTGGAGCGGCGGCCCTTCTCCAAGACAATCGGATGAATCTCCTCCAATATGTACTTCTCCTGGTCCAGGCGAATGCGGTGAGCCTCTTTTCTGATGCGGCGTCCTGCAAACTCTGCCTCGTCACCTCGCCACTTGCCGAAAGTGAACCTGGCCTTCAGAGAGTCGGCCAACCACTTCGTGTGAGAGGCAACCGTTCCCAGCCAGAGATCGTCCACCTCTATCAGGACCTGACCCTTCAGGACACCCTGCTCCCGGAGTGTCCAGTAGCAGGGCTCCATCAGCAGCTTCTTGAAGCCGAGGTCGCGAAGGTAGGAGGTGATCGTGGCGTGCCATTCCCAAGGGGCGTCGTCCAGACCATAGACGGCGACGTGTAGCTCAATCAGGCACCCGTCGGGAACGTGAATGCCAGTAAGCCCCTCGCAGGGAGCCACGTAGATGGGTCCACCAGCCCTGCGGAGCCGTCTCGACTGACTGAAGGCGTTCTTGCAGTCCACGATGCTCTGGTCCATGCCATGGCCTAAGAGCACGAGTCCGAAGAGCATCATGGCCTCGGACTGAGGTGTCGGAGAGTATGTCACTAGATTTTCAGTGTCAGGATCTGCAAATCCGTGCACGCACCATCTGCTCTTTGCCTTTGGGGCACTGAACGTGCCCTCTTGTGCCTTCCATCGGCGTACCATTCTGGACGATAGCACCCGCTCTGGTCGGGTACGAAGCACACGAGTGGACTCCTCCTTGCTGAGGATCCGCAACACACTCGGCTTGTTGAGTACGCCCCACTCGGCCTCGTCCGATCGTCGGAACTCCTCGAGCTGCTGGGCCGAGAGATCCTTGAGCTTGACCTCCCCGCCGCGTGAGGAGAGCAGGGACCACTGCCCGGCGCTGTCCTCTGAGTGCTCGAAGATCAGATCCTTCCGGCCGTTCATGTAGGTCTCGATGTCCCCGCTCCAGCCGGAGTCCTCGAACCAGGAATCCAGCACCTCGCAGTAGCCCTCGAGAGCACTGAAGCCGGTCTCGTCCATCGGGGTCTCCGATCCCGCCCCCTGGGGCTCGGCCTGAGAGGAGGCTGCAGCGCTGCCCCGCTGAGATCGCCAGTTCTCGAACTCCTGGATCTGAGTGCGAACCCGACCTTCAGCCCTTGGCAGGAGCTCCATAGGTGTCGGAAGGCCAGAACCCCTGAGCTGCTCGTCGGTAGGTGCCCCTCCGGTCGCGGACCGGAGGGTGTCAGGATCCAGCCTGGCTCGCTTGAGCTCCGGGTCGTCCTCGGACAGTGAAGGACGTCTCGACGATGCCCGCGAGCCGCCAGCGGTGGCCACCGCCTGGGAGCCTGTCTCCGATCCGGCAGGTGTCGAACCAGTCTGGGACGCTGGAGGTGTCGGCTCGGCGGCTGGCTCCCTCTGAGGTCCGGCTGCGGCTGAGCCAGCACTGCCTTGTCCGAGAGCTCCAGCAGGATCCGCTGGTGCGGGAGCTAGTCACTGGACCGGGAGCCCAGACGAGTCGAGGTCTTGGTCTCGCGCCGGCGGCCTGGGTCGGAGGTCCCAGTCCTGGTGGGGGAGCAGGAGGCCCAGCAGCTACTTGAGCCACAGTATCTGCGATTGCTGGAGTCGGAGCTGGAGTAGGGTGGGTGCTGGAGTCGGGAGCTGGAGTGGGAACCCTTGGAGCCTCGATGTTGTTGGTGCCCATGTTGGAGTCCTGAGGGTCCCCTTGGTGGCCTGGAGCCTCGTTGGAGCCTGCTGGTGCGACAGTCACTGGAGACGCGTTGCCCTCGGAGCTAATGGGAGCCATGGTGGCCTCTGGTGGTGGTGGTCCCTCTTGAGCAACGTCTAGAGCCCCTCCCGAGATCCCCTTAGCAAGCTGCTCGTCCAAGACGTCCCGATAGCACGTGGTCTGGATGAGCTCGGCCCCAAGAGACTCTGACTGCGTAGCAGGTCGTATCTGTTCACAACTGCATTTCCACAAGCGACTACGCACACACACCCACACTGTTGTTCCATGATGGAATATCACTGCACCTGGCCCGACCCACCGATCCCGTTGCAAACCGTATGGTTTGCGCCCTGTCTTGGGCGCTCGCCTCCAGATGTACACCCAATCCCCCGGTCGGTAGGTCCTGTCCCTGTGCCAAGCCGATCCCAGCGCATGCTGCAACTTCCTACGCGCATCTCCTTCCATCGCAAGCTGTCGGGCACGAGACCGGATCTCGTGTTGGTGTCGGAAAGCCGCCGCCGCACTGTCAAGATCGGCACTCGGTTCCTCCAGGTCGTGAAGTCCTATGTGGTCTAGCGGGTCCTCGCTGAGCAACTCCTGTGGTACCCTGGGGTTTTGCCCAAATACTAGTTGTAGTGGTGAATACCCGCCTCGATTCAGGAAACGATTCCGCCAGGCAGCCAATTCGCAGGCCGCCAGCTCTAGGTCGTCGGGGCCCTCCAGGATGGTATCGTCCACGAACCTCTGGAGCCGCTCCTTCAACCATTGACCCGCCCGCTCTGTCTTCCCGTTCTGCCAAGGACTGTCTGCGTCGGTGGTGTGCTGGAACACCCCTTGTTGTTCTAAGTGTCTGCTAAACTCGGCCTCGAATTCCTTCCCACCGTCTGATACGAGGACCTCTGGAGGTCCGTAGTGTCGGATCCATCCCCGAGAGAAAGCTTTCCACACTGCTGCTGGCTGCGAACATCTCCCGGGTCCCACAAGCCCCACCCACTGTAGCGAAGTCCCCAGGCATACTGCATTCAGAAACGTGTACTCCCTGCGCTGATACGTCACAAAGAAAAGGTCTACTCCAATCAGCTTGTTGAATGAGAATGTCCGGGCAACTGCTGCCTTTCGCTGAGGGATAGACTTGCCGGCACTCTCGCAAGACTGGCACACGAAGTGATGTTGAACGTAGCGCAAGATCTCTGGCCGAGCGTGCGCACACCTGAGAATACGAAGCAGGTCTCTCTTGGTGGGATGGCCAAGATTGATGTGTGCCTTCTCCACCTGTCGAATCTGCTCCTGAGTCAACGGGCAGTCCTGCTGCTGCTGCTGCTCATCCTCCTCCTCTTCGTCCTCGGAGTTGTCTTGCTCGGGGCCCTCCACCTGAGACTGAGTCGGTCTTTCCTGTCGACGAGACGCTGGCACCCCGCTTGGAAAGCTCTCGTCGGTTCTCAGCTGCTGAAGCTCTGCGGATCGGTGAACCGCGTGTGCTATGGCCCTGCAGAACTTAGAAGGATAGCATGCCGCACGTCGTGGTAGACCGCCCCCCTCCAGCACCAGATGTCGGTGGTCCCCGGCACACCGTTTTCTCAAGAGAGCCTTGTAAACTCCACAGTCGTTGGAAGCCACAGTGGTTGGTTTCTTGGAAATCGTGCCGGGCCTAACGGAAAGCCCAAACCTGCACATGTCAAACGTGATCCTGGACGCGCCCGGGAGCTCCAGAAGCCTCTGAGTACTGGGAAGAGCCCAAGAAGTCGCGGTAGCAGGTTGTTCCAGGGCGAACTTGCGACCGCCCGAGATCTGAAGCTCGATTATCTCCATTGAATACGCCCACAGGTCCAATGCTCCCTCACGTGCTCGGGCCATCACGACCGGGTCTCGCCGCTCGTCGTTGACTGCGTTGATGGTGGCGAATTCGGTGCATGGAGGACTGAGAAATACCAACCACGGGCGCCATTTCTTGATCAACTGCTTTCCTAGTTCCCTGTGATCCGCACGTCGGAAGTCCCAGCCCGTAGATAGGTCTAAGCTGCCGCCGGTCGGAGAGCCTCTGGAGCCCAGCTGAGAGGAGACCTTTGCCGTGCGAGGAGGTGAGAAGACTTCCACGAACTCGTATCCCCATGAGTTGGAGCCCGATGCTCTTCCAAGACCTCGGAGACCCTGACGAAGACGACGCCTACTCCTCTGATCAACTCTGAACTGGTGGGTGTAGTTGTCCAGGCCCGTTAGGTTAGCTAGCGTGTCGTCGGAGTCGTGAAATAGCTCGGAGCCGCGTAGCGTCGTGATAGACAGGTAGCTCTGGAGTGGGACAACGTAGTAGGACCCCGCACCCGTAGACCCGTCCTCGACAAAGTAGGAGCTGCCCTGGGAGGTAGAGGCGGAGATGCTGACCCGGAGTCGGTATCGCCCGTCGTCGGACTCACACTGCCAGGCAGAGATAGAGGAAGGGTTGTGACAGGATGAGGAAGAAGAGAGAGGGCCTTCGTTTTTCTCCAAAACCTCCTGATCGACCCGGTAGCACTGGCCGCTCGCTCTGGCCTGCTCTAGAGCAACGCTGGCCTCTCTGTGTAAACTGCGAGATGTAGGTATTCGAAGCCAGCACTCCTGTCGAGACTTGTCGCCAAGTAGTCGCAGCACGCCGCTCTCTCTCAGCTGCCCCTCATGTCGGTGTCCGCCGGGGCCTCCTCCACCATGGTGAACCCGAGGTTTGGAGATGCCCCGGTGGTCGTCGGTGGCGGTCCGGTTGGCGATGCCGGCGTGCTGGAGTCCGCACTCCCGCTTGCTGCTGGGGGTTCTGGTGCCATCTGCTGCATCGTGGCCACCATGTGCGAGAGCGTCACAGATTGCTCGCGTAGCGCTGCTGCCATCGGCCCCGTGGATGCCGTCATTGCCTCGGCCACTGCTGCCGATAGACCTCGCACCATCTCCGATGCCCACGGAGGTGGAGGCTCCTGGTTGAAGCTCGACCAGGTGTTCTCGTCGTTCGGCGCCGACGCCGCGCGTCGACTCGGAGCCTGGGCTGTGCCCTCCTGCGACGCCGAACCTGCCGAGCTCAGTGGCCTGACATCGCGCGGTAGCTGCTGCCTGAGCCTCCTTATCTCTGATGCTGTCATCTGTCGGTGGCCGTCCCCGCGGTACCCGATCTCTCGATAGGACGTCCTCGCCTTGCACTTGCTGCACTGCTCCCAGTTCCCGTGCTGGTTGTAGGAGGTCACGAACCACCTGGGGCGATGCACACATAGCGTCCAAGGCACCGCCCCGTCTGCCAAGGGTGCCGACATCGGAACCCGGTACTCGTAGAGGTCGTTCACCAGCCTGGGGTCCTCCATCATCCTCCGACGAAGCTCCCTTCCTGGGAAGAGTCTCCCGCGCCTGTTCAGAGCGAAGAATTTGTCCATGAGGGTCTGTATCCACATCAGTCCGGCATGCAGCAGCCTGATCCACTGGATCTTGACCCTCTCTGAGATGTCCGAGTCTGGTCGGCTCCGCATCGACTTGAGGCGGGTCTCGCGGTGAGCTCGGTAGTTGCGTCTGGCTCGAGGTTTGAGCCGAAACAGCTACGGGGTTGAGGTCGTAGCGGGAGTCGTGGTTGGAGGAAGTCATCGAAGGTTTCGAACTGCTGGAGTCGGTATGCAGGCTCCCGGGATCTCTCTGAGGTGCTGGGGCTCCTGTGGTGCCGTTTCTCTCCTTCTGAGGCCTAGAGGGGTCCCTCCAAGAGAGCGCGTCCTTTTTTTCAGTCGGGGCTCGGAAGGCGTCCGAGCCAAGGCCGGCTGGCAAGGCGCGCGAGCTGGGAGAGAAGCTGCTCTCTGTCCCGCGCCAGTCGTTGATGTAGATCCCCCGGTGGTTCTTCCCGATCCGGTGGAGCTCAGTCTCACAGTCCAACTTCTTCAGAAGAAGAAGATCCTTCTCGTAGTCCAGCACCGCGCCGAACTGCTCGAGAAACCCGCCTGGCAAAAGTGGAGGCAGGTCCTCCTCGGTCACCACGAACTCGACGGTCCCGCTCTTGCCGCCGATGGAGATGGGCACCACGGCGACTCCGACCAGCGTGGCCGATCCGCCGATGCCCCGAGGTGTCTGGACGCTCTTCTCGATCCAGTTGATCCGCAGGCCTCGTCGCTGCAGATCTCCCTCGAGCTCCTTCAAAGCCCGGCGACCTATGATCGCCTGGGAGGCGCCGCTGTCCACGATGATCAGGCCGCCCTCGAGAATCAGCAGCGAGAGCTCCGTGGTCTCCGAGCTGATGATCTCCCTGAGGGTCGCCAGCACCTCCCTGCCCAGGACCGTGATGCCGTCGAGGTTGAAGTCCTGGTCGTCGCTCGCGCCAATCGCCGCGAACGTGAAAGCCTCGATCTCGGCCCCTCCAGACCGAGGTTTGCCTTTGCCATCTCGCTCTCTGGGACGGTGAGGATTCTTGCACTCTTTGTGCCAGTGCCCTACTTCTCCACAGTTGCCGCACTTCGTGATCAGCTTCAGCTGTGACGGGGTGAGCCGGCGCTTCTTCTTCCAGAAGCCTCGATCCCGCTTGAGCGCCGTCTTCAGCTGCTGGTTCTCCTTCCACGTCTTCTTGGTCTTTCCGATCTGCGCCAAAGTCTCGACCACCTCGGGCTCCGCGAGGCTCTTCTCTGAGAGCTCGACGAGCACCATGGCCTCGTCCTCGGAGTCGAGCTCGTCGGCCCAGTACGACCACTCGTAGATCGGCTCCTCGACAGGCCCAGACTCTGCCCGATGGGGCTCGGAAGGTGGTGGCGCCTCCTCCGACCCCATGCTCAGAAGCGATGACTGCTTGCCGTCGCTCCAGATCTTCCCTCCGGTGTCCAGCTTGGGCAGTGCCCAGAGGATGTCCTCGCCCAGCATCGAGCCCTTCGTCAGGCTCTTGAGGTTCTGCCTGCCCTGCTCGTTGAGACGAGCTCCTTGCATCAGCAGCATGCCTTGGATCTTCTGCGGGATCTCCATCCCGATGCTCTTCGCCTTGTCGAATTGACGTCGGCGTCGCTCCGCGAAGGCGTGCAGGTCCTCGTCCTTCTTCCTCTCCGTGTCCTGCATGGCCTCACTGCCTGTCCGGTAGAGGTCGTCGTCCTCGCGCTCGCCGGACTTGAAGCCCATCCTCCTCAGTATGATCTCTACCGTCAGCTCGCTGTCTGGGATGTCCTCGAGAGTCGTCCTGATCTCCCAGGGCAAGATCTCCAGCAGCCTGTCTGCTGCCTGTACCTCGCTCAGGTGCAGGCTGTCCTTCCAACGCTTCACGTACTGCTTCCACAGCCTGAATCTCACCCAGCCTGGCCAGGATGGTGCTGGCCTGGGTTGGGTCCACTGGCCCTGCCACCAGCCGCGGTCGTGCTGCCATGAGCTGCCTTGACTGCTCCAACTCTGCCACGAGTTGTCTTGATCCCAGGCATGTTGTCGCCCGGGTCTGCTCTTCCATCCGTCGTCCTGATCCCAGGACTGTCGCTGCTCAGATCCGTCTCTCCACTCCTTCCAAGTGTCTGATGCCCTCATGGATGGTGGTGTGAGCTTGTCATCTTCTGCCCGCGCATCCTTCGCTCTCCATTCTTCTCGCCACGGATCCTGTTCCGTCCAGGGGTCGTCTACTACGCTCCAGCCCGCCTCGTGAGATGGAGCCGCGCTCTGATCTTGACCGGCGAGCCCCTGGAGGTTGGGTGCGCTCTCAGGTGGCGCCGAGGCCGGAGATGTCCCTGTGCCCAGCCGTATCATCTGGGCCACCCTGCCTGCGATCTTGTCGATGTCTGCATCTGTAAGCCCTTCCTTGCCGCCTGCTGAGGCGGCTGCGCTCGAGTGGCTCATCACCCGTCTTCAGTACTTGCACCCTCGTTGGTCGCCCTCGCCCTGCCGCAGATCTGTGAACCGTCCTCCAGCTGCGCGCCCGCCCTGGGCCTCGCCACCGGAAGTCGTTCGGTGAACCACGCTCCGCCTACCACTGTGGGCACGACGGGTTCAGGCGGCCATCGCAAGATATACTGAATGGGATGCTTTTGCACTCACTGCGCACAGAACAGCTTGAGCCAAAGCGTCAGTCACGGCGCGGCTGTGCACATGCAAGCAAACAACAGACACAGATGCAGAGAGCACAGATAGTCAGGACGAGAGGGAGCTATATGATTCCACAGGCCCCCTTGGTAAACTATAAATCCAGGCTCAGCGGTGCCCGCAAGTAGATAGCTTTGTTAACTGATATGGGCATCGATGCAGATGGCAGCAGCTCCTGTTCCTCCTCCTCCTCCTTCTTCCTCCTCCTCATCCTCATGCTCATCTTCTTCTTCATCCTCCTCCTCCTCCTTCTCCTCCCACACTCCTCCACCTCCTTCTCCTCATCATCCAGGTCCTCATCCTCCTCCTCCTTCTCCTAATCCTCCTCCTCATCCTCCTCCTCCCTCCTCCTTCTCCTCCTGCTCCTGCTCCTTCTCCTCCTCCTCCTCCTCCTCCTTCTCCTACCCTCTTCCTCCCACAAGTGTGCCCCCGCCGGTTTCCACAACGGCTGGGGAAATACGCAGTCCAGCAAGGTGATAAGACTTCGGCCCAACATTTGGCCACATAGGTGTTTCCAAAAGGCAAGGGGGCGGCGCTGATGCGCCGTAGGCGTCTTCGGTAAGGCGGTATACAGGCCATATTAGTTAGAAACGCCAGACGTAATGATAACATGCAGACAGGATAGAAGGCATACGTCGGAGTACGTGACATACTACAGCGTATGTGTTGCTACCCGACAAAGCACCACCGTGAAGCAATCCTGAGAGTACTGCCAACGCTGGCACAGAAAAGCGAAAGATTGCGAAGAATTGCGAAGCCTATCATTGACACGGTAACGAATCCACTAACAAAACAAGCATCTACATACAATCGCAGCGCATCGCATCACATACCGAAGCATGGCGTGGAACTGTTAACCTGTAAGAACACCCTTTGGTGCTGAGGAGGTCGGAGGGTAGGTGCAGCTCTCTGTCTGCGCTTGGCTTCGCGACGGACTGATACAGAAGTGGCACGTGCGTGTCCAGGCTCCTACACATTGTACAGGGGAAATGTAAGCAATAACGCCGAGTCGCAACATGAATGAGCCAGCACGGGGCAGGCAACATCACGAAGTCACCAGTGTGTTTGCGAGTGCGTCCAGCAACTGTGTGAACCAAACGTTCCCGAACACCACTGTGTTAGCAGATGCGCTGACTTTGCTGACTAAACTTTTTCGCTGGCGGCTAGACAGGGGTCGTCTGCGCTGGCGGATGGAGCTGGCTAACCGGGCGCCATTGTAGCGAATTGACCATCGTGCAAGAGGGGGAAAGAAGGTACGCTGAACAAGCGTGCCAATACCAATTGGAAGCGAATGGATTTCGAAAAAGACTTCATGCTTAAATCATTTGCCATCACGACCGTGACTGGCCCCGCCCTCCCCTCCGCCTCCTCCTCCTCCTCCTCCTCCTCCTCCTCCTCCTGCTCCTCCTCCTCCTCCCTCTCCGCCTCCTCCCATGTCCTCCTCCTCCTCCTCCTCCTCCTCCTCTCCTCCTCCTCCTCTCCTCCTCCTCCTCCTCCTCCTCCTCCTCCTCCTCCTCCTCCTCCTCCTCCTCCTCCTCCCTCCTCCTCCTCCTCCTCCTCCTCCTCCTCCTCCTCCTCCTCCTCCTCCTCCTCCTCCTCCTCCTCCTCCTCCTCCTCCTCATTATCTCCCCTCACGGTTCACGCTGGCGCCGTCTGGGAAAAAGCCAATGTTCAGCATCCCCAGACAGCGCCAGGCCCCCTTCACCCTCCTCCGCCCCCTGGGAATTCGCCAGGGGAAACAAGAGAACGCTCTCTGAGTACATGCCAAAAGTCGCTGGAAGCACCCGCAGGTCCCAAGGCTCCCCAGAGAAGGCCCCCGAATCGGCCAGAGCAAAAACCAACGGGGCCCCAGATCGCGACAGCCGTACAGCGCCACCGCCGTGCACGGCTCCCCCGGGCGCAGTGGCGGACGTGCGCGGCGGCGCAGCTGGATAGCGAGCCAGAAGGTGAGCAGCAGGGGCGACGAAGCGTACATGACGAAGATGCACGTGTCGAGGAACACCAAGAAATTGCATAAACATAAACTGTCGGAGGTCCGCGCGGATTTCTTGGATCGGCGCTGGAGGCGCCGCCAAGGGGGCCCCAGCGCCGATCCGAGGAAGCCGCGCGGAACTCTGGAAGTGTATGGTTATGCCAATGCTTGTTCCTCGAATGTGGCCAGGCCCTCCTTGTTCTTTCCTCCGGCAAGCTCCGCCATCACCATCAGGTTGTTGGCCGTGGGCGTTGCTGTAACGATTGTGGCAACCAAGTAAAAGGCCTCGTCAGGGCCATCGCTGATCATGCGCGCGCTCTTCATAGCCAAACAGACCAGGAGCCCAAACGTGGGCATCACAACCATCTTGGCCAGGGTCACCACGATGGCCGTGCGCATTGGGACGCTGCCACTGCTGATCCCACTTGTGAGCGTGTTGCCGAGAATGAACATGTTAATGGGGACTGCAGCCTGCCCTATCTTTTTCAGTCCGTTGAATACCCATTGGAAGATAGCACCCTCCTTCCGATTGCTGTCAACAAGAAGTCCGCGCAACGGATACATGAAATTCACCAGCATGCCCAACAGTGCTGCGATCACTGGAGGAGGAAACACACGCTCGACCAACGTCTGCACGAGGGCCCAATCTACTGCTGGCGTGATACAGTCAACGCGAATGATGAGGATGCACGCTAAGGATGAGAAGACCTTGGAAGGCCATGCCGACACTCTTTCCAGCGGGGGGCGGCCAGCGAAAGTGGCCAAGGATGGGCCAAATGGTAAGGATGCAAGGGGAACCTTGGAAAGACGTTCATCCTTACTATGCGCTTTGACTGTAGCACGGGTGGGGCCGAATCTGGATGTGGAGCAGAAGATGCCCTGCCCATCGCTTCGCCGAGCGGCAAATCTAACCCCGCCCCCTCCAGGCTGCCTGCCACGTCATCAGACCGCCTGGGCCCTCCCGGTGCACCCACCGGGCTCCCGACGTCAGGGAACGACCTGCAAGGAGAGGAGCTCTGCCCCGCTGTGGAGAGGCGAGTCCTCGAGGGCAGCTCCAGGACCGACTGTAGAAGAAGAAAGAACGGCACAAACATAAACTGTTGGCGCTCCGCGCGGGTTTCTTGGATCCGCACTGGGCCCCCCCTCTCAGGCGCGCGGAGCGCGCCAGGGGCGGCGCCGGAGGCGCCGCCCGGGGGCCCAGCGTGGATCCAAGAAGTCCACGCGGAGCGCCAAAAGTTTACGCGTATGCCGCTTTTCCTTCTTCGAGATTGGGCCCTGCGGCGACAGTCGGGCACGACCGCGCCAGGCGCTCCCAGCTGGCCAAGGGGGCACCTCCGAGATGTCATCACTTTGAAGCTCGGGGACTCGATCCAGCTCGACCGCCGGAAGCCCTGCAGCTCGAGCCCTTCCGTGACCTCTGGAGGCCTGGGGCTGAGCAGCCAGGCGCCGACGGTCCACTGCAGGACTGGGTAGAGCACCAGATAATGGGAGAAGGGGAACGATACAGATCCAGCTCTCTTGGCACTCCTCCTCCCCCTCCTTCCCGTTTCTTTGTAAGGAGGGCGAGGGGTGAGGAGGAGGGCCAAGAGAGCTGGATCTGTACTGTTTCCCTCCTCCCAGATACACCTACCAGACCACCCCAACACAACCCGAAGACCCGAATGTCGCCCGAATTTCGGGTTGGGAGGGGTACAGGCTCCACCCCCCACTGGAAATCGAGGGCAAATTGAGGCCTTCGGGTTGGCTTGGGGTGGCTTGGTGGGCGGTGAGATACACCGAAAGAAACACCAGCGGGTTCGTGAAGCCGAGGTCCGTGCCCTGCGAGAACTGGGCCTGGACGACCGCGAGCAACGTGATAGGCAGCCCGGTGGAGTTGCCGAAGGCCACGGCAGCAATGGCAGGGGAGCGGAAGCTCTCCTCGATGCCACCGAGCAGAACAGCACCGTGGCCGACCAAGACGCCGACACCCACGTAGAGGGCCGGCAGCAGCAGCATGGGCCACCCCTCAGCAAGCTGGTCGAGCAACCGGGTGCAGGGGCGGTCGCTCCAGTCCTGCGCACAATCGATGGCCGTCGTGAACAGCAAGCACGGGATCGTCAACTTCATGCTTATCTCGCTCAGGCCCCGGCTGATTTGAGGCGTCATCAATCCAACCCGCTTCAAGAAGACACCACCAGAAGCCATCACAGCCAAAGTGCCCACTGCCTTCAGGCTGGACCACAGGACCTGGTCAGTACCGCTCATCGCGATCTTCCTGCAGACACTCCTCGAAGAGCATTGTCGGCTGAAGCGAAATGTTTGAAGCAAGAATGGCTCTGGTCAGGACGCGGACACATCTCGTCCAGGCCCTTGAGTTAAGTCGGGCCTGTCCCCCTACAGGCCGTTTTTGAACAAAAAACTAAAGATAGTGAAGAAATAAACGAAAAATGCTCTAACATACTTAAAACAAACAGTCCCCCGACTATTCTTTGACTGTTTTTGAATGTCCCCCCTGTCGAGGGACTGGCCCGACTTAATCCTGGAAATGGGCGCGCAAAACTTGCCTTCGGGGCTGCTGTCGTTGGGAGGCCGTCCGCGGAGGGCCTGCCACCCTGACCGGTCCGCGAGGGGCAGGGCGGGGGGAGGAGGAGGAACGACAGGGGCAGCAGCAGGAAGCGTTGCGATGGCTACTTGTATGACGAGGGGGAGCAACAGGAAGCAGTGCGATGGCTAATTGTAGGTCGGGCATGCCTCCCTACAGGCGTATTTTGGGCGAGGAATAAAACATACCCCCAAAATACCCCCAAAATGCCCAAGCATGATCAACTCCGTCCCTCGACTATTTTTTGACGATTTTTGAATGTTCCCCCTGTAGAGGGACAGGCCCGACTTAAGGCGAATTGTATGATGAGGAAGAGCAGCAACAGGAGGAGCAGCAGGAGCGTGAACGAACAGAAGCGGCGCACCACCGCCGTACGACACTGGAGAATGTCAAAGGCCCTTGGGAGGGAAGCACGGCCACCTCAGCCTGGCCGTGCCTACTCCCATTCCCCATCCCTCTCGCCATCCCGCTCCCTCTCCCTCCCCAGACCTCCTCGCGTCGTAACAAAGATAAAGCCGGGAGGTTTTTCGGACCTCACCGGGCCTCAGGACCGTCCAAAAATGACTCGGGATGAAAAACCGGTCCCGTGGAAGGGGTCGAGACTTCTGGGGGTCGACGTCGCGACAAAAAAACAACGTCGGGGGTCTGGGCTCCCTCCCCTCCCCCTGTCCACCCTCTGGGGGTAGAATCGCGGCTCATACGCGAAGCCTTGCAGCAAACGCATCCCAGGAAGGAGCCGCGCGGGGCAGGGCTGTCTGGCAGACAATCAGGACTGCTCCGCAAACGCCAGTCATCGGAGCCGTGGCGTTTTTTTCAACCCCTATCCAGGTGTGAGGGGCAACGATAAGGGGGGGATAGGGATAGGGATAGGGGGGAAACATCGACCTTGAATCGGCAATACATCGCCGATAGATCGGCTATGGGCCTCCAATAGTGAGTCCGTACCTTCCTGGGCTGGTTGGGGCTATCAGACCCCTATCGGCGATCAATGGGCGATTGGGGGTCGATACATCCCCCCCTACAGTGCGGGAGTGTCGCAAGAAACCCTCGCAAGAAACCCAACCCTGGAAACCCGCGCGCGAGGTGCACCTGAAGGAAAAAACCAAGCATCCTGAACGAATCAGCTTCTTTGACCGCCGCGGGAAGTCACCGCGCAGAACGCGGAACACGAAGAAACCCAGGGTACCCTGACGAAACTCAGATGGTTTCTTGATGCGCGCCCCCAGTGTATGCATATCCCCCCTTCTCGTTGCCCCTGAAGGTGTTGCGCTTCGGACCGCGCCCGGCCGCCGGCGAGCCACCCCTTCGCTCGGGCCATTCGAAGGCGGCGCCTGAAGCGGCGCCAGCGCGCCCGTGCACAGATGCCCGAAAAGGCCACCTGGCGGCACCGCCCATGTCTGGGGCGTAGCAGCACGGTCATGCTGCCGGCAGCTTTGGCTGCCGATTTTTTCTCACCGCAACGAAACCATAAAAAACGCATCGAGAAATCGAAACGGGTGCTAAAAGCCCTGTGGTCCAAGCCCCCCCCCCCAAAAGAAAGGCCACAAGAGAAGGAAGAAAGCAGATGCCGAGTGAAACGACGTGGTCCAAAAACACATCGTCCACAAGCCTGCAAAAATCTTGTGCGACGGCACCGTAGATTGAGCGGTCTAGAAGGCGGTCCGGGATCGAGGATCTTGGACTCTCCCTGTCAAGCGTCGGGAATCGAAGGTCGAGGATCGAGGATCGAAGATCGTACGCCGAAATAGGGCGATGTCGCCATGCGGACTCTGCCACCAGGGCCTTTGATGGGGCCCCCTACACGGCCACGCGAAAAGTATGAGGGGTGCGCCGAAACTGCGCGGTGCGGCCATGCGGGCTTTGCCACCTAGGGCCTTCGGTGGAGTCCCCCATGGGGCCACGAAGCGAGTGACGGGTGTACCGAAATGTGCCCTCGGAGACCAGAGGCGGGGAGGGCAGAAGGGAGGAGGGGGAAGAAGAGCGGAGAGGAAACGCGGGGCGCTGTCCCTTCAAAACGAGGACCCAAGACCACTGGATGGTGAGGGCAAAAACATGCGGGCTACACGCTGGCGTCCCCGCGCGCCATTGGTGTTCTGAGCGGTTCAAAAAAGGAGGCGCTCACAGTCAGGAAAAGTATTGGGTGACTAGCTTGTCTGCTGATTTACGATTCTGCGCGCGCACTTCCCCATCATACTCGTCAGCACCATCGCTATCACCATGGTCAGCATGATCATTGTAACCGTCAACACTATTGTCTCCATCACCATCACCGTCGTCGTCATCATTTACGTCATCATCGCAATCATCATTGTCGTTGTCGTCCGTCGCCGTCGTCGTTGCCGTCATCATCAGCATCATCATCAGCATCAGCGTCATAATCTTCATCACCATCACCATCATCGTCATCAGCCGCAGCAGCAGCAGCGCGCGCCCACCCAAGTCATGGATCTGCATGAGAAGGGTCCTAGCGTCACTTCGCTACAGGCGCGGAAGCACTTCTCCTAGCGGCACGCCAAGCCCCCAACAACGCCAGAATAACAAATGAGCTTCTGCGCCCAACCCCGTCCGCATCAGCGGGCGCGCGGTCCAAACGCCGCCCTCATATAATTCTAAACGGGTTTCCGCCTCCGGGGGGGGCCTGGGGTGAGTCACCCCTTTGAGTTAACACTAAGCAAGGGAAGTGTAAAAAGCCTGGTTTGGGTGAGTCTGTCTGGGACATCTTCAAAATCTGCCTGGTTGGCCCCTGATTTGGCTTGGCTTGGCCTGGTTCAGCCGCGCGCCCCGCCTGAGACACCCAGCATGGTGTGGCCCTTGGTTTGGCCTGGTCTGAGCCTGGTTTCGCCTGAGGCGTCCTCAATCGTTGCCTGGTTTGGCCCTGGCTTGCCCTGCGTTGGGCCTGGTGCAGCCTGAAATGTCCTCAACGTTTGCTTGGTGTCGCGTTAGTTTGGCCTGGTGTGGGCCCGAATTCGCTTGAGACGTCCTCACAAGTTGTCTGACGTGCGCGTTTGGCATGATTTTGGCCCCGTTGCGTTCGAAACGTCCTTACACAGTTTGCGGTGGTGATGCGGGCTGGAATGCTGCACAAAAGAAAGCACATAATGTCTATACGGTTGGGTAACATCAATATGGCCGCCATGCGGTCTCAACAAGAATGGGATGTGCCACATGTTCTTCGACACTGAACGGTTGCGCTCAATTAACACACGTCGTGGTGGGCGGGGACGAACCGACGTAATGGCACGGTGTTGTGAAAACCCATTGTGGTCCACGTGTAAGACGACTGCGCTACAATGTGGAGGGCGGCATGGGTGTGGACATTCCCGACACGCTGCGGGTCGGCATGGGCGCGTGGCAGAGTTAGGAGAAAGTCTTGTGTTTCTGAGGCTATAGTTGAAGTTTGCCGGCAAGGTGCAGATGGGCGGGTAGGGTATATGCTCGGTCATTAGAGCTGGGGACGGCAATCAGGGTTGACCGCTTCAAGCTGTGCAGAAATAAATGCACCACGTGTATTGCACAACTGATGTGCCGCATCCAGGGTGCAAGAACGTACTGTTCTGAAGCGGGTGCCCAACTCTGAAAACGAACCACCCTCGACCCGTGTGACGATTGCAAGCGTTGTTGTCAAATGTACGCGGCGCCAACGCAAGAGCCCCATTACATGCGTATGTCTATATATATAAAAATACAACAAATAACGACCCCTGCGCCACATTCGCAATAAATGGAGGAGGGAAGGGGGGAGGGAAAGAACGGATAGGAGGAGGGGGTGGGAACGATATGCAACCCCTGGAAGTGTGTTGGGTGTGGCGGAAGGGAAGTATATGCAGTTGTCTGTTCCCCGTCGGCCGTTGTGTGCTTCAGGCGGCCCTGGGGTGGCCGACAACCAACAGCGGTGAGAATGTCGACGACAAGCACCGTGACGAAGTCTCGTGCGGAACGCGCGGGCCGCCTGCACGACGACTCTCTGCACACCCCGCAGCAAAGCAGAGCACAGCACTGAACAGCACGACGCACCAGCGTCAAGCAGACGGCCCAGGACAGAGCCAGACCCGAGTGCCCAACCAACCTGGCAATGGAGCCCAAACGCTGACAGTGTCGGGGCTCCAGTGCCAGGTGGGCGGGCCCTGACACTGTCATGGCCCTCCTCGTTCTCATCAACCTCCTCCTCCTCCTCCTCCGCCTCCTCCTCCTCCTCCGCATCATCATCATCATCATCATCATCATCATCATCATCATCATCATCATCATCATCATCATCATCACCAGCATCATCATCATCATCATCAGCATCATCATGATCATCATCATCATCATCATCATCAGCATCATCATCATCATCAACATCATCATCATCATCATCATCATCATCATCAACATCATCAGCATCATCAGCATCATCATCATCACCAGCATCATCACCAGCAGCAGCATCATCATCAGCATCACCATCATCATCATCATCATCATCAACATCATAAGCATCATCAGCATCATCATCATCAGCATCATCACCAGCAGCAGCATCATCATCATCATCAGCATCAGCATCAGCATCATCAACATCATCATCAGCATCACCAGCATCATCATAAGCATCAGCAGCATCATCAGCACCAGCAGCAGCAGCAGCAGTCGCATCATCATCGTCATCAGCATCGTCATCATCATCATCA